TCAGACACAGAATATTTGAAATCACAAACTTGTGGCTGAAGTGCATTTCCAACATCAAGGAAATGACGTTTACATACACGCCTTCCTTTCACTGGCCTTAGATTTAGGGGATTTTGAATTTAAAGTTTGAATAGTGCCCTGAGAAATGGTAAAAGTTATATAAATATAACATACAATATTCAACAAAATATTATTCAAAATCAACGAAAAGCTTTGCTCTTTTTCTTTTCGATTCTATCAGTCGTATATGTCTTTGTGGTTGAGGCTTCTTCTGCGTATTTACAAAAGTGGAACTATTATGTAATATGTAGTATTCACCCAGGAACTACTTCTGCCACGTTTTCAACTAATTAGTATGCGCTGGGACACCAACCACCTTGCACCCCTTGCACCCTGCACCCCCACAAAACAAGGACAGAAGGGGCAACTTACTCCAAGACCCAAGTAGTCAAAGGGCAGACAATTAACGGAGGGCATAAAACCACACGTGCCCCGAGTCCTCCTGCCTGGTGTCTTATCAGTCAATCACAACGACGACGACAACAACAACAACAGCTTCAGCATCCTAATGCAGCCGTTTCGTATTCAGGGCACAGATAGAAAAAGGTAGAGTATATGTTAACACTGCAACTTCATGTTCGTCTCCCATTCGCCACTCCAGAAAACCCCTGTGTCTGTCATCCGTATTTCTGCTTTGCAACGTCTTTAAACCTGAACCGAAATAAATACCATTGAATCAGTGAAAGTACCAAATTAATATATCCTCGTCATTAGCTCCACGTTCAGCACAATGTGACCTTTACTTGCCTATTTACTGGTTAGGGATTCCTTCACTGAATTCCCAAATATAAATGCATCAAATCATGAATGACTTGGCCTCGATAGCCTCATAACTTGACTCATATTGTCGATTTGTGCATTTCAATTGTTCTTTAAAATTTGATAAGTAATCAGGCGAATATGTCGTTCATTTCACAGAACGTCGGGGTTTGGGTGGGTGTGGTTTTGGGGTGGGGTGGGTGGGGGGGGGTTGTATGAAAACATCGTTTGGAATTAAAACTTAGTATTTGTTGGTTGGCCATGTCATCAGGACAGATCCGAATCCGTACATGTGTTTAGTGTCGGATCTGCGTCGAGGTTCGCCTGCTGGATGATAACGTTAAGCTTCGTCTCGGGTAGCGCACCTAATTGCCATGGGGATTTTATGGACGCATCAAACAATTGCGAAACAGAACTAAGCGTTATTATTACAGCAACATGACGGCAGTTTGTAAATAATCGAGTCTGGAGGGAATATGCTCGGGATTGTAGGAGTCAATGTTTGCCAAAGACAGGAACAACATAAAAAGACTCCAAACCCAGCTAGACAATTAGTTGTGGAGTCAGAAAGTAGCTTACAAGATGAGGATTTGAAAATATTGTTATCACATATGGCGCCATGGTTTGTGTATTTCATGCATTAGAATTGAAGAATGGATTTTAATCAATTGTTTTGGTATCTCTTTTGAAATGTTGTTGAATATTGCTGACTTGAACATCATGATGTTGATCTTTACTGGTGTTAACCAAGTCAGATTTAGCGATAGTTTTGTTTGAGTACTCCCTTCGTATTGACTCACGTCAGGGATGGTTACAAGTGTAGGCCCAATCAAACGTGCCCGGTCAGGACAACCTTGTCGGTCTCTCGGCAGGCTTACAACTGTACCAGAAAAGATTGAACAAACATACATGTGTACTATACTCAGAGGAATATTGTCAGGGATGGAGTAACTTTGGTCCCAACTGGAGACATTTAGACCTTTGTTCATATTTATGAACTCTTTAGTCTGTAAACTGGAATGTCATTTGATTAGCAGGCATGTTTTAGATAGCACAGGGACACGTTGTGGTGGGAAATATTTGTCTTAATGCATGGTGAAAAAGATAAATTTTTATACCAGAATATTGCTTGATAAACATTAGTTTTATATGGCCTTTTGACATGCACCAAAGGGATAAGCAATATATATTACAAATTAGATAAATATTTGTATACACATGTATAAAGATATGAAATAATGTATGTAAATGATATTTTAGCACTTTCTGTAATCAAAAAAGTTTTTGTCTGGAGTAACAGATGTTGCATTTAATGTTATTGATATACAGGCTGTGCCAAAGACTATTGAGTCAACTTGCCCAAAACTTGGCTCTTTGCTTCATTTTTCATGCATTTTAGTGTTAATTGTATGGTCTAAAGGGACTAGTATTAGTTAAAGGCACATGACTGATCTGAATTTTACTAGACTGCCGCTTTAGACTAGTGGCTAAAGTCGCCAAAAGTACAGGCAACCCCTAGACTAACACCTAGTCAATGAAAACATGTCTTTAAAAATACTATAAAATTGTTTTTTCGAAAGCTAACTAGACCTGGTTAGTTTGATCTAGACTTGCATAGGCTTCTAGTAGAAAGAGAATATAAATTCCACAGTCATGGTGCAGGACACAGGCAACCCATATGTATTCATTCATGGTAATACCCAGAGACATCTCCACGGAGCCTGGGATGTACATATTGCCTTACTGGACAAACATGGGAGCTGGATTAGTGAGAGTTACAGTGTCATTAAGATTGATGTTGTTGTTGTCGCAGGCAGGCATTGTTGGGGATGAGGGATGAGGGATATGGGAGGATGGTGAAACAGAATACTGTGGATACAGATGATGTTATTAGGGAGCCCAGTCTTTGGGGACCCGTGTGGTTTGGATGTCACGGACTTGGCTCATGTCGCCCACCTAACCCTTGTGGGGCTTTACTGACCACGAGGTCGTGGTAGATGTGTTGTTGAAGTGTGACCAGTAATTGGGTGTTTGTAATTGTTGTTTGGAACACATTCATAGCCAATTCATATTCCTGTGACTTGGGATATGTTTGAGTATGAAGGTAATGAACATGTTATCACAATTGTTGGTTGGCCGATAGTTCCAGTGCTGCTCATTCTGGGGTGGTCCAGAGGGTAAAGTGGTTGCTCATCATGATGAAGATCCAGGTTCTATTCTCAACATGGGTACAATATGCAGTCTGCAATTTTTGCCACTAGTCCAAAGCCTGAGTCTGGTAAATTGTTTCCAGTTTCAGCAATAGAAACTAACAGTTTTAGTCCACTAACCCCTAAAATGATAACAAATAGCAAAACCCTGAGGGCCAATTTCTATTAGTCCTATTGGGCAATTTGGCAAGGACTATAGGAGTAGTGCCAATCTCTAATGCTGAGATTAGTAAGAACAGTTGATCATTGTATAGCATCACCACCAGGTATAGCATCACTGTATAGCATCACAACCAGGTATGGCATCACTGTAGAGCTTCACAACCTGGTGTAGCATCACTGTATAGCATCACCACCAGGTATGGCATCACTGTTTAGCATCACAACCAGGTATAGCATCACTGTATAGCATCACAACCAGGTATAGCATCACTTTATAGCATCACCACCAGGTATAGTCTCACTGTATAGCATCACAGCCAGGTATAGCATCACTGTATAGCATCACAACCAGGTAGAGCATCACAACCAGGTAGAGCATCACTGTATAGCATCACTGTATAGCATCACTGTATAGTATCACAACCAGGTATAGCATCACTGTATAGCATCACAACTAGGTATAGCATCACAACCAGGTATAGCATCACTGTATAGCATCACAACCAGGTATAGCATAACTGTATAACATCACAACCAGGTATAGCATCACTGATAGCATCACAACCAGGTATAGCATCACAACCAGGTATAGCATCACTGTATAGCATCACAACCAGTTATAGCATCACTGTTAAGCATCACTGTATAGCATCACAACCAGGTATAGCATCACTTTATAGCATCACAACCAGGTATAGTATCACTGTATAGCATCACAACCAGGTAGAGCATCACTGTATAGCATCACAACCAGGTTAAGCATCACTGTATAGCATCACAACCAGGTATAGCATCACTGTATAGCATCACAACCAGGTATAGCATCACTGTATAGTATCACAACCAGGTATAGCATAACTGTATAACATCACAACCAGGTATAGCATCACCACCAGGTATAGCATCACTGTATAGCATCACCACCAGGTATAACATCACTGTATAGCATCACCACCAGGTATAGCATCACTGTATAGCATCACAACCAGATATAGCATCACTGTTTAGCATCACAACTAGGTATAGCATCACAACCAGGTATAGCATCACTGTAGAGCATCACTGTATAGCATCACAACCAGGTAGAGCATCACTGGATAGCATAACAACTAGGTATAGCATCACTGGATAGCATCACCACCAGGTATAGCATCACTGGATAGCATCACCACCAGGTAGAGCATCACTGTATAGCATCACAACCAGGTATAGCATCACTGTATAGCATCACCACCAGGTATAGCATCACTGTATAGCATCACCACCAGGTATAGCATCACTGTATAGCTTCACAACCAGGTGTAGTCTCACTGTATAGCATCACTGTATAGCATCACAACCAGGTATAGCATCACTGTATAGCATCACAACCAGGTATAGCATCACTGTATAGCATCACCACCAGGTATAGGGGCACAGGTTCGCTATGCAGAGTGGCATCCCTTGGGCACGCCAGAAACCTATGATTGTGGGTTCGAATCCCGGTTCGCCCCGATTATGTTTCTAGGTTTGTCAGCACCATACCCGTGCTCGTGGGTTTCACCGAAGTGGTAAACGTCTGAGACCTGCATCACTTCGGGCTTTCCTCCCACATTAGGCTGACACGCCGCGATATGACTGGAATATTGCTTAAAGCGGCGTAAAACCATACTCACTCACTCACTGTATACTGTGTCTGAGTGGGGTATCTACAGATTATTTACAGATCGCCGTCATATAGCTGGAATATTGCTGAGTGCGGCGTAAAACAACAAACCAACCAACAAAAATCAATTAGTGATATGATTGCACGTTCTTTTCTTTCTGTAGGGTCAGATATTTTCTGCCAAGAACCACCGTATCTACCTCCTGGGCAATCCTGTCATCTTCTGGGGACTGCTTGTTATCAAGGCCTTGTTCCTCGTGTTCTTCGTTATACACAGGATAAAGTTAAAGCGTGGTATTCAAGTACCTGAGCCTATCAAAGGTAAGTGAGAGATCACCGCCTCAGGTTGTATGCTGTCATATCTACTGAACACAGACACTGCTCCTTGACAGACAGGTCCCCAATGTCTGTGATGTGTGCAAATTGTGAACAATCGATTACCTTCTGTTGATTATTTATATATGTAAGATATACATCTGATATCACTTTTGCCTTTCTTTTTGAGCAGAGTATATTATCTATTGATATTATTTATTCTTCATCATGAATCGTGTGCTGGATGTCCTCCTATACGCATAATGCACTGTGACCTACTTCATGCACTGTGACCTACTTCATGCACCATGCACTGTGACCTACTTCATGCACCATGCACTGTGACCTACTTCATGCAGTGTGACCTACTTCATGCAGTGTGACCTACTTCATGCATCATGCACTGTGACCTACTTCCTGCACCATGCACTGTCACCTACTTCATGCACCATGCACTGTCACCTACTTCATGCCCTATCACCTACTTCATGCATCGTACACTGTGACCTACTTCATGCATCATGCACTGTCACCTACTTCATGCACTGTCACCTACTTCATGCACTGTCACCTACTTCATGCACTGTCACCTACTTCATTCACTGTCACCTACTTCATGCATTATGCACTGTCACCTACTTCATTCATTGTCACCTACTTCATGCACTGTCACCTACTTCATGCACTGTCGCCTACTTCATTCACTGTGACCTACTTCATGCATTATGCACTGTCACCTACTTCATTCATTGTCACCTACTTCATGCACTGTCACCTACTTCATGCACTGTCACCTACTTCATTCACTGTGACCTACTTCATGCATTATGCACTGTCACCTACTTCATTCATTGTCACCTACTTCATGCATTGTCACCTACTTCATGCACTGTCATCTACTTCATGCACTGTCACCTACTTCATGCACTGTCACCTACTTCATGCATTATGCACTGTCACCTACTTCATTCACTGTCACCTACTTCATTCACTGTCACCAACTTCATGCACTGTGACCTACATCATGCACTGTCACCTACTTCATGCATCATGCACTGTCACCTACTTCATTCACTGTGACCTACTTCATGCAATGTGACCTACTTAATGCATCATGTGACATACTTCCTGTCTGTTTCCCTTCCAGTGTACAATGAGAAGATGTTCCGGGCGTGCTGGTGGCTGCTGCTGGGCTGGGGGCTGCACTACCTGCCCTTCTGGGGCATGGGCCGCGTCCTGTACTTCCACCACTACTTCCCCGCCTTCCTGTTCAGCGCCATGTTCGGAGGTACAGTAACCTACCCATGCACTGACACCACGGGATCACGTCTTGGGATATTGGGTTAAGACACATGGAGGCTAATGACAGTGTGAGGGTTCAATTGGTTTGGAATCTGGAGATGGATGTTGAGGTGGCAATGATGTTGTCATCGAGACTTAATTTGTTTTTACGGAACTGAAAGCAGAAATGACAACCTTCTGATATTGGCATAATCATTACCATATTGTGAGCAGAATTCTGCCACTATGATAAAGTGAAGTATATTATAAAGTTTATGAAAACATCATTGCCATTAATTTTGACTAGTTATTGACCTCGCAACAGGAATTGTCATTTATACAACCATTTGATATATCTAATCACTTGATTTAGCTTGCAAAGTTTAGATGATAATATACAATGCAAAAGATATATATTTTAATCAAAACCATAGTCAATCATGCTAATCAGTGCTAATGGCAAATACGAATCTGCCTTTTGATTTTTTTTTCAAATCGGATTCAAGTGACCTTGTATATCATATCATATCATATCATATCATATCAAATATCATATCATATCATATCATATCATATCATATCATATCATATCATATCATATCATATCATATCATATCATATCATATCATATCATATCATCCATAGCCTGTCCTATTCTATTACTTATGTACCTGAAAACTCATGGTTTATGATGCTGAAACTTGTTAGCAATGGTCTCATTATTGGGGCAATCTATGATGAGCTTGGGTCAATCTTAGCGCTAAGATGATCGTAACTCCCATACTCCAACATAGGCTCACAACAGTCATATCGCTAAGATCTCTTTGTGGAATGGGCCTGCCCTTGTTGCTGTTTTGCTGACACGTCTACTGTCTGCGTGTCACAGGTGTGATGCTGGACTACCTGATCACCCGATTCTGTCTGACACTGCCGGAGAACTGGGCGGTGAAAGTATTCCCCTGGCTGCTGGTGTTAATCATCTTTGTGCTGGTTGGCAGGTAATGTCCTTCACAGACATATATACAGTCAAGAGACTATCTACAGTTTGAAATACACTTCTGATAATACAGTTACCCTGTGTGGCGCTCGGCATTAAGGGGCTACCTCCGTGGTCTAGTGGTAGGTCGTCCACCCAGAGAGCGGAAGGTCCGGGGTTCAATCTCCACCCGCGTCATACCAAAAGACGATAAAAGGTGGTACTTGTTGTTACCCTGTCTGGCTCTCGGCATTAAAGGGCTAAAATAAGGACTGGTCGGCTTGGAGTCAGTATACTGTGTCTGAGTGGGGTATTCATGTTAAACTGCGGCATGGTATCTCAGTGATCTAGCACTATAATTCGGCATCAGTCCGGACCAGTACTAGCAGCCACACAAACACACACACGTGCATGCACGTTGCTATATAAGTGCAATAATCTTGGACACTACGTTAAACCCCATTTCACTTGTCTTCATCCTGTGTGACAACAATATTAATTATCATTTTTAAGCCTTTTTTTCAAATCATATTTTTCATATATCTGTGTATAGAGTAAGAAACAAGGAAATACGCATAGCAGTTTTCCTGATCTGTAGGAGGGGGCACGGGTGGCCCAGTCGTCTAAGGCGCCGCGATTCGCTGTGCAGAGTTGCGTCCCTTGGGCACGCCAGAAACCTATGATTGTGGGTTCGAATCCCGGTTCGCTCTGATTATGTTTCTAGGTCTGTCAGCACCATACCCGTGCTCGTGGGTTTCACCGAAGTGGTAAACGTCTTAGACCTGCATCACTTCAGGCTTTCCTCCCACATTAAGCTTAAACGCCGCGATATAACTGGAATACTGTTAAAAGCGGCGTTAAACCCAACTCACTCACTCATTGATTTTGAGCCAGTGGAGGTTCTATAGAATCGGTGTGATATGGTCAAACTTTTTGGATTTAGTTGCTGTTGCTAAGTTGCTGTAATCTAACATTCCAGTTTTTACCTGTTCTACCCCCTGACGTTCGGCACATCTGGTCCAATGGCCAGTGAAGAAGGGTCCGTGATGAGTGGCCTCAAGTGGATGGACTCATGGGACATATGAAAGATGGTTGTGTGATGTACGAAAGTTTCCTGAGTCCGATTGATGGTGTTGGCAGAGGGTATCCTCCAAGCCATTGCTGCAATACAAGATAAACCTGCCAGCATATTACATTTACAAAACAAATTGTCATTCAACCATCGTCATCATCAACGTGGTCCAACTTGATATTATATTTTCTTGAGCCTAAGGTCCTTTACATGTTTTTGTGTGAACCATACTGGAGTTCGGAATGACAATACTGGTCATTTATTTACAAAATACTTATTCTGTGTAGTTTTACTATTTTAATGGTTTTGTTATTTTTTACAGATTTTATGATCTGGTATTTTGTACATTTAACCTTAAGCAAACCTTATACGGAAGTCATTGAATCCTCAAGTAACAGATCAGTTCAGTTTGTTTTGTTTCCACCGTTCTCGTTCGGACAACAGTGGGAAAATGGCAGCTGTGATGAAGTGATGTAGGAGTGAGTGAGTGAGTTTGGTTTTACGCCGCTTTTAGCAATATTCCAGCTATATCACGGCGGGGGACACCAGAAATGGGCTTCACACATTGTACCCATGTCGGGAATCGAACCCGGGTCTTCGGCGTGACGAGCGAACGCTTTAACCACTAGGCTACCCGACCGCCCCAAGTGATGTAGGAAGTAAAAGTAACAAGGAGAGATGCCTGGGATGTATTCATGAAGTTATCAAGGACTAACCAATCAAAGTCGTGTTTGGATAATATTTCAGAAAAATGAAATGAAATCCAAAACTGAGCGGTAAGATTCTACCGGTCTTGACAAAACTCTCGGCATGTAGAAAACAAAGACATCAAATGTATATGTCAGAATCCGGTGTTTTGTACCAAGCCATGTTCCTCCTCTAACAGTTTATCATGGTCAATTGTTGTATCATAGATTACTGTTTCAATTAATTATGGGGAAGTAGACCTGTATTTGTTTTATCCTTCATTCTGAAGGTTTTGTGCAATTACATGTTGTTAAAATACGGATGTACATTTCTGATACAGTAGATTGCTCTCTCATACTCTGTGAGGTGCATCGTAGATAGACTTGAGGTGCATCGTTGATGGACTTGAGGTGAATCGTAGACTGACTTCAGGTGCATCGTAGACTGACTTCAGGTGCATTGTAGATGGACTTTAGGCACATCGTAGACTGACTTGAGGTGAATCGTAGACTGACTTCAGGTGCATCGTAGACTGACTTCAGGTGCATCGTAGACTGACTTATTCATGCAGTAATTCATTCATTATTGTGTGTATATAATAGACCTGGACCCCGCTTCAGGAAGCAGTCTTAACGCTACGGCTATCGTTGATATATGTAAACTATGAGCGTTACAATCATCTTAGGGTTACAACTATCGTAATAGGCGGAATCCCGCCATTTTTATGGAACATTTTTTTATGAATCCCCCTAATCTCTACTCCCCCACCCCCCTTCTTAAACAACCTTCACCCATACAACAATGTAGAAAAGTAATTGTCTTGCAAGTCTTTTGTACGTATGCCATTGCAAATGTTGGCTTGTGTTTTGTATTGTTTATGGTTGTCACATTCCATTCAAAGTGTATGCAATAGATTGTGAGGGTAGCATGTTATGGTTCTTGATGATAGTCATGTTTGGGTAACCATGGTAACACATATCATTACACAGAGATGACAACAACGTAGGACAACATTATGCAGATATATATTCATCTTCCCCGTCATATATCACTAGTACTATATTTATGATGCTTACTTATGATAACAAGTCAAAATTAAGATCACATGCTGATCCTGTCAAATGCATCTTCCCTAGGCAATAGAATCAACTAGCCTTTATATCAAAGTCTTTTTTCCACCCTTGCCACATCAAGCCCACTTTCCTGTGCTAAAAGTCAACATCAATGATTTAACGCTGCCTGTCTTTGTTAACATGAATATGTCTCTTCATCTTGTAACCCCCAAAACGATTGCCTATGTTTTTGTGTCATGGATGAAGACGTGAATGTTTTCGTTATCTCATGAAAGAGGTCATCATCGTCTATGGTAGTCGTCATTTTTGTGAAGCTGTACGAGATCAGAACAGCGATCTGATTGGATATCGTGGTTTCATTATAAGGGGCGCAACTCTTGATCTACGCGAGGTGGCGCCAGGGTCGAGCCAAGAAAAGTGGCCTTAGTGTGGCAAGGGTAGATACTAGGCTTTGATATAGGCTAGTGGACAAGGTTGCCTTGGGAAGATGACCAAAATATTTTGTCCAATCATATAACATATAACATGTAATCCTGGTACTGGCGGGTGTATATTTCCAAGGATAATGGTTATGTTGAAGCACATGCCACTATGCCATCTACACAATGCTGTATCCTGAATATCTTATGGTGAATGTATTTTGTAATCATGTGCTATATCATATATCTGTTAGTATGATAAGGGGTCTGTATAGGAGAAAACATTTATTTTTATAGTTTGTGGAAAGTACTTTCAAAAAGGAGCTCAAGAAGTGTGCATGCTGATACTGAACGTGAACGAATATGATTGTGTTATCGAAGACGTCAATTGAAATTGTTATGATTGTTATAAGATATGTTTATGTGAATGAGAGCTAGACTTTGTTCATTTCAACACATGCATATCTAGGACTTATTTAAATATAAGGTTTAAATGTATCAAAAAGGCTGATTTAGAGGTTTTTAAAAAAGCATTTTAACATTTAAGCATGAGCAAGTCTTTGACCCAAGATGATTTTTTTGGGACACGTAGATCAAGACTATAAAAATTTGCCAAAAAATTCGTCTTGGTCACAGATTTGCTCATAGTTAGATTTGGTTTTAAGTTGGAAAAATCAGCATTTTTTCTAATATTAGCCTTTCAGAAGTAAAAGAACTCACAAGTGTAAGAAAGAACAGCGTTTCTTGTCAACCATTCGAATTTTTTTTAGAAATGTCATTACATACAAAATTTGTCAGAACTTTAAGATTTATTATTTCTAATTGTCCAAAAAGGGCCCTTACCCTACATCGTGTTTTATGAAATCAGACATTCCAGACTATAAGAGGGATAACTGTGTCAAAGTATTTTTCAAGCGTAGTCAGAAATGGAAGTCGCCAGGTTGAAACGAGTGCCGTAAAGCTCGAGAAAGCTGCTTTCTAATTGGCTGATGTTGACTTCTTGTTAGTCATTTTAGTGGCCGGTCAAAGTTCGCGAAAGGTCGTTCTGACATGACCCGTAAAGGGATGTCCTCAGATCTTTGTTTAGCGCAGCGGGAAGTTAGATCTGATTTTTATGAGATTGCTGGTTGTTGTTAAAAAAATGTTTTGTGGGTCCCAAAACAGCTGTTCCTTCTTGTATGTCTTGATGTCAGAAAAATGTCCAACAAAATCCCCCCCCCCCCCCCCCCGCCCCTACACATCGTTAAACGGCTGATCCAAGATAATCACTAATGACATGAGTTGTCCCCCCTATTCCTGGCATCAAGGTCACATTTGTCAAATGCAATAGTGTTGTTTTTGCCTCTTCCCCCCTCCCCACTTAGAAGACTTGGAAACAGTCTATATTCAATACACACAAAGTATCAGAGAAAACTATATGACAAAAGCAAGCTTTATATCTCGTTACAATAATCATATTGTAACTTCCCTTTTCAGAACGGTTTTTGATATTATTCACCCACAAAAACATAAATTCATAAATATCCAGAATAGTATTTTCACATTAATGTTCCTTGTAACTTTCTTTGTAATGCCAGTATTGATTGATGGGGGGGGGGGGGGGGCGGGCGGTCAGGTAGCCTAGTGGGTAAGGCGTTCGCTCGTCACGCTGAAGACCCGGGTTCGATTCCCGACATGGGTACAATGTGTGAAGCCCATTTCTGGTGTCCCCCGCCGTGATATTGCTGGAATATTGCTAAAAGCAGCGTAAAACCATATTCACTCACTCACTCCATTACCAGAGTCACACTTTTTAACTACCTTGTGAAATTAAAACTTTAACATGGAGGAAGATTGCAATATAAGTGCAATAATCTTTAATGTGATGTTGAACCCCATTTCACTTCACCCCCCTCACCATGGAAGGAAATCTCTCCCATTGTTAAAACGTTTTGCATGAAAGTATCATTTATAGTATTTAACCTTTATGAATAGTTTAATTACATCTTGATATCATGTTTTTCAATATCTGTTATTAAAATAAATAAAATTTCTTTATGTGAGTGTGATAATATTTTAGCAAATGGATAAAAATATGCACATTTAGTCTTTCCCTTATATTTCTTACATGTAGAGACTTATACTGATGTCAGATGGTGTTATGACTTAGACTACAGTGTAGTGGCATTAGAGTTTAAAGAACTTAACAGTGCTATTCTCATCGCATGTTTGCTGTATGCAATATTAATTCGCGATCTATGGCAAAATAGGAATCAATTGGTATTTCATTTGATACAAAGTGACCTATCTGATGATTTGACTTTTTGTCTGTTATCATTGGCTGAATAGCCTCATTTTTGTGACAGATTTTTTAAAAACTTTTGTGTTGTTAAAACCTTACATTTCAGTATAAGGTCACCATCTGACCTCCTCCAAATCCAGAACATACAAATCAAAATCATATACACCATGTCAATAAAACAGTCCGCGTGATTTTTGTACTCGAGGTGGATGTTGATATGATTACTGCTGACTTTCAAGAGTACATGGCGCATGATGCTTTAGTTACTCCTATCAGTATTTGAACATGATGATCTTGCTGCAAGATTCTGCAGTGTGACCTGACACATTCCAGTGGCCATCTTCCCGAGGCAAGAGAGTTAATTGACTTTAAAAGTCCAGTTTCCACCCTTGCCGAACTAAGCTGGAATTACTGGGCTCGATTGTAGCGCCACCAGTGGCTGTTACCAGTCATGTCCCTTCTAAGCCTCTACTATGGACCAATCAGATCCACCTCTCGTTTCACCTGGGTTTGCTTCACACAAAATGGTGGCGCCCAGTCAGGACGATCTGATCGATAATCAAGATCTATATTGTGATAAAACGGGTCTTACATCGCGAAATGCGTCAAATCACGTGAGCACCTTGATTAAAAACATGAAAAGATTTGGAAAATAGCTGCTGACAACGAGTTGGCGGTGCATATGCTTTGCAAATCCTGCAATCGACCGAAATCTGCATGACAGCTTACGAACCGGATTTCGATTTTGGTGCGCGATTTTGATTGGACTATGCATAGACTGGTTAGTTCAGCCAAAATGTAACTCCATAATACCAGCTTAGTTCGGCAAGGGTGGAAACTGGACTTTTATAGTCAGTTAACTCACTTGCCTCGGGAAGATGTCCAGTGGCTGGGCAACAATATCACTTGTGTGTATAAGTATGATATTGTCTTGAAGTATGTTATATTTTGTGCAATACACATTACTTCTCTTAAATCACAGCATTTCTTGTAAATCCTTGCAATAAGCAGATGGTATTTAACTGATATCTAATCTACAGTGGTCCCTCGCTACAACGCTACCAATGGGGTCCAA